TAATGATGACTATTACGTGACCAAATAAGAAGTCACGGGGATTTCAGCATCAGCGGATTTCAGCATCAGCCGTGACAATTATTACCACTTTGTTTATTACAGCAGCCGTTTTTGAGAGATGAGGGAAAGAAGATTCCCTAAGTAATATATATATTAGCAAAGCGCCATTTGAGAGCGTTTCAAGGATTCTCGTTTATCTTTTTGGAGTAACTGAGTGAAAACAGAACTTTGAAGAGTTATATTCACGAGCAAGTTTTAATTGTTACCACTTTGTTTATATACAGCAACCGTTTTTGAGAGATTAAGATGAGCGAAAGAAGATTCCGTAAGTACATATATATACATATACAAGAGGGAAGGCGAAACCTGAGACTGCTTTGTTAGCATACGACTAATATTCCCTTATATATACTTTGAAAGCGATTAATTACAGCTACAACTACAAAGAGTTTACGTAAGTACCAGCTATAGTTCTAAATTTCGTTCTCAATAGCAGCTAGGGTTAGGGTTGCGGTATCTTGCAAGAGTTTCTTTACAAGATGCATTTTGAAACTTACATATTTGTTGGATATTGCTATCGTTTAACAGATGACCAAAATATGAGCATTGGATTCTTGGCTGTTGCGTTATTAGTGATTGACGACGGAAATTGATTTCGCGCGTTCGAAGAATCAAATCAGGCGTCTATCCATATTCGAATCGTACTTAATATCCTGCGTCAATCTTTTGCACACACATTGACAGCAGTCACCGTTAACAAGTATGTGAATTTCATGAGCATTGGATTCTTAGTTGTTGAGTTATTCGTGATTGACGACGGAAATTAATTTCACGTCTTTGGAGAATCAAGCCAGGCATCTATCCATATTCGAATCGTACTTAGTATTCTGCGTCAATCTTTTGCACACACGTAGGCAACAGTTACCGTTAACAAGTATGGGAATTTCATGAGCATTGAATTCTTGGTTGTTGAGTTATTCGCGATTGACGACGAAAATTGATTTCGCGCATTCGAAGAATCAAACCAGGCGTCTATCCATATTCGAATCGTACTTAATATCCTGCATCAATTTTCTGCACACACATTGACAGCAGTTACCGTTAACAAGTATGTGAATTTCATGAGCATTGGATTCTTGGTTGTTGGTTTAGTAATAATTGACGACGAAAATTGATTTCGCGCGTTCGAAGAATCAAATCAGGCGTCTATCCATATTCGAATCGTACTTAATATCCTGCGTCAATCTTTTGCACACACATTGACAACAGTTACGTTTAACATGTATGTAAGTTTTATAAGCATAGAGTTTTTGCTTGCTGATCCATGTCAATTCTTTGCACACGCATGGACAACAGTTACATTTAACATGCATGTAAGTTTTATAAGCATAGAGTTTTTGCTTGCTGGTTTAGGGTTTTTGGGATTAGTGAGGGTGTTGCTTGTGTACAATAGGAGTACACGTATTGGTTGTTTCGAAACCGAAAACAGATTCGTTTTCTGGTGTTGCAGCTCTGTTCGCAATAATAATAAAGTTCTAAATTTTTTAAAAAAAAATGTCCAGTGACTGGTTCGCTTCTTGAAGTGGCAGCTTGTTGCTTTCAGTCTTTAGTCTAACTACTTCATCTGCTACTCCTTCAAAGTGTATCTTTAGCTTAATGGCATTCTCCAACAAGTCTTCCACAGATTTCCGGTTTGAAATACATAATGGCAATTTCAGATCCAAAATCTCATATGCTTTGTAGAATTTGCCATTAAACGAGTACAAAACTGACACACATATATGATCTCTTACAATCAAAACCCCTGTCATAGGCACAGTAATCAAGGAGTTATCTATCTTCTTGGCAAGGTTACACTCCTTGTCTTTCCCTTTAAAAACAACCTCATAGAGCATCTTATGGCCGTCTTTGCATGAGCTGAAGCAATTTTTTCCAATCCCTCTTATGCTTTGGCCACTCAGCAGTTAATTTTGAACACCCCCCAAATAGCAACTCAACACTATCATTCACCCCATCATGTTCATCTGCTATATCCTCTTCATCCTCACTCCCTTCATCCTCTTCTTTCCTCACTTTCCTCACTTTCATCACTTTCCTCACTTTCATCTTCATCTGTTTCCTCAACATCAGATTCTTCTGTTTCACTCTCCCCCTCTTCATCCTCTTCATCTGATTTAATTTCACTGAAGAACAGCTTAATGCATATGTCAGGTTTGTTCCCAATCATTGTTGAACCCATCTTCTTCTTTCATATGCAGATGATTCACTCACCTGCTCATTCCTGTAATAACATTGATTACAATAAAATACCCAGCAGAAGGAAAGGCTGTATTCAATGCTGTAGAGACTAAGAATATAGTGATTTTATCTGCACTTGTTTCATCATATTCTATTTCAGACAACCCTCTATTTAGTCAGTTCACATCACATCTCTTTCATTCTTTTTTTTGGACTATATTAATGAAGGACTTGAAAAACTTAGATAATATGGGTGGGAAACTGCTTTGATAGTAATAGTCAGTTATTGATTTGGGAGATTCAAGCTTTTCTTGGTTTTCCCAAACCCAGTTATGCAATATCCATATGTCAAGGCCCAAACTCTCTCCTGCTGTTGATGTGGGCTCAGGTGTAAAATGGATGTGGTTATCAAACTTATCTATGCATACTTGATGAAGTCTTAATATAAATACAGTTCTTAGCAGAAATGGATTCACTGGAATGTTTGGACATTCTTTATGTTCAAATAATGTTCCAATGCTCAGATAACCAGGATAAAAGTTCTGTTTTCTCTTTTTCATTATTTGATGATGTGGTATTCATTATTATTATCCATTGTCTGTAATATGTAATTGTAGAGCAATGCTGAAATATCATCACTATTGTTTATCCACACATGTGAAGCTACAGTTTTTACCAGCACTGTATGACAGATAATGATATCATATGCCTCATCACTGTTCATATATTGATGCAAACATTTCATTTTTGATACACCAGGAGTTCCGTTTTTGATAGATCTGCAAGCACCCCAAAATTTGGTTTTGTTTTTGATACATCTGCGGCAAAGTCACGTTTTTGACAATCCCCAGAAAATTATCTGATGCACTATACTATGAATGTAAACTAATATTTCTTGAACTAATATGCAAAATTTTTTCCTTTCAGCAAAAAGCCAACTCACTTCAGTCTCAAAAAAAGTCCCGTTCCAATGAGTTGCTGTTATCTGTGTTCTCAAATTCCTAATTATAATGGAATTATAACAAAGCCTCCTGCATCGATTATTTAGTTTCATAATAATCCTGGTCAGCCTTTATCTTGTCCACAATTAATAATCTATGGTTTCAATGTTATTATCTATTTAGATATAAATAATTAACACAGCTATGGCAAACCTCAAGAAAGAGTTTATTATTATGTCTAGAGCTTTGGTATCTATTATGTTCACATATAATCATTACATTCACATATTAATATAGTCATTATGTGCATGACATTCACATATAGTCATACACAGTAAGATGACCTTTTACTTTGACAAGATGAAGTTGGCTTAATATGATGCATTTTCCCTGAATCAAGTCAGTTATAATAACACAAGATCTCTCATCTGTACATTGGATAATTTTCTGGGGATTGTTGAAAACGTGCCTTTGCCACAGATGTATCAAAAAAGAAACCAATGTGTGAGTATTGCAGATAGTTTATATCTGGTGACAAGGATAGGTGATGTTCTCTGGATGACAACTTTTGTTGAATATAAATAGGAGAATAGTTGGTTGGAATGCATTACAGCATGTGCCTTGGGAGGTGTATAGAACAAATTATTATTATTATTATTATTATTATTATTATTATTATTATTATTATTATTATTATTATTATTATTATTATTATT